CAAATAGCTACTAGATTTTTAGGACGTAAATACTTATTAAGTTGTTTGGGCCTATTTAATAAACCGTTAGGTGTTTCTTTTGATCTAGGGATGTTGTGAAAAAATTATTGATATGATAAGGATGTCATGAACTAAGAAAGTTTGGGAACTTCTGATAAAGCCCTGTGAAGGCTTTTAAGAGTATATTTATGTGTGTAGTTATGAGTTATGTGTGTAGTTACTATGGATTGTGGTCAACAAATTTATAATAGACTAATGAACACACTGCCCATAGTGGTAAAAGTCCTATGTTGGATTTTATGGCAGCCCATAAAAAGAGCAACTAGCAACTTGAAAGTTGTTGGGGTTTTTATTTGTTTGTTTTTTGGTTTTTTGTTTCTGAGGGATGAGATCAAGAAAAAGGATCTAATCAAGATTGGTTTTGGAGAGGTATACCCTACTCTGAGTGCTGGAAGACAAGCCAGCATGTATGAGGTTGGGGTTAGGAGAAACAGCTACAACCACAAGAGAAAACAGGGCACTAGAAAACACTAGCATTGCAGAAGCTTGGTGTTGCTGGAACAGAATATCCTGGAAGAGAAGAGATGGGGCTCGAGAGTTAGATAAAGAGTAGGTCTTGGACGTTTTGTATATGAGATGAAGGACTAAAGGAGTTTGGATTTATTAATAGGCAAGAAAGGATCTGCAGAAGGGCTGTAAGCAAGGGAGCATCACGCCTGCCTTAACTAAATGTGGAGAAGAGATCAGGGTGGGGTGGGCAACAAAAGGCCAGCAGACTGCAGCAGTAATCCAGAATAGATCTAGACAGGGAGGCTGAACTAAGGCATTTGCAATCAGTAGTGGGCAACCTTCACTTCAATGAGTTACTATGTTAGCTACTCAACCGCAATAGAAAGCAGGGATCCCAGCAGGGATCCCGTGGCTTGGAAGACTACAATCATGATCTTTGTGGAAAATGGAGGTCTCTGCCCACCCTTCGTGATGCATTTGGGAGTAGAAGTCGTTTCATAATCTTGCTATGTTTTATCCTCCAACATGACATTGTCAAACCTTGATATTTAGTTTCAATAAGTGAATTCAGCAACCCAACTGGAACCCAGACTTCAAAAAGATTATGTGTGTCAAGCATTAGGGGTGTTAAATCTAATAGAGAATTCTAACTGAAGGCCTTTAAGAATAGTATCCTAATATTTTTATGTAAGCTTGCTGTTTTGGGCTTGTACAGACTACCCTATTGATGTTGAGGAATTATACCTTCAGCTATAATCACATCAAAGATTCAAATTATCTTCTAAAATTTACTCACATGACTCTTAAAACTCATAGAACTTTAATTTCATTTTTTCTATATTGTAACCAAATCCTTTTAAGTGTAATAAGGTAGTAAGAGAGGTGTCTTAGAGCTAAAGAAATAAAACAAAGAATAACTGTAACTAATGGGGGCTGGAGAATGAGCCATTTTTTACTTAGAGCTACATACCTTTTCTTCCTCCTTTTTTTTAAACCAAGAGATGAACACATTCTTCAAATTAAGCCCATTAAAAGTGCATATTTCAAAAAAACTGCACAGGCTTGGAAAGAGTAAAGAGAATTCCAGCACTGAATAGAAATTAGGCCTTTACAAGAGCTCTGTCGCCTCTAAGCCTCTATATTAAACCCAAAGAGAAAATGACATATGGTTTGAAATGGTAAAAACAGACCCAGGATACCTCTACCTCTCTTACCATTCTTCACAATTACCCCCACAACTCCCCCGCCACGTCATTTAGTGAAAGAACTAAAAACAAGATTTCAGAAAAGGTCACTACAAAATAGGTTTTCCAAAGTCCCCTCAAGTAGGGAGCATTCAGGTATTTCAGAGGTAAAAAGCAGTAATCAACGCCAACTGCTGAGTTCCTAATACTCTAATCCTCCAGGACACCTATCTGAATCATACCCAACCACTTTTTCATCATGGCACACATAGTGGATGGTATCTGTAGGCAAGCTGGAGATAAACAGGGTAACCCCAGGGCCCACCTGATCGTCAAGAGTGCTGAGATCATTAGATCGATGTTCCTGAGGCTCAGCTCAATCAGAAACTTGTTTTTCCTGAGCCTTTTAGGATTAAGTGCAATATGCAATGCTCTCAGAAATCATTACTTTCAAATCCAGACTCTCCTAATACTAGCTTCCAGCCTCTAGCCAATCACTTCACTTAGCCTTAGTGAAGTATGGAAAAACTACCCATCTTACAGAGGTCCTGTGGAGATTAAAAATAATATAACTAAAGCTCTTATCACAGTGTGTGACAGGCAATCAATGTATACGGATTGTTATTACCAAGACAGTTGCTGAATTAAAAAAGAGAAATCTGACCTCTGTTCAGTGGTGATGTTGCTGAGATAAGAAACTGCAGACTTCCCACTATGTCTAAGAGTTAAAACACTTTATAAAACAAGAAAAACCATAAACTGTCTCCCTATATCATAATGTTTTTCTCCACTAAAAATATATACTATATTAAAAGTGATTGTCCTTGCCACCCATCTACTAAGGATTAACAGTATGGGTAACAATGATACACACATATATACAAGAAGTGATTCTGGTACATTCATTCATATCCTGCAGAAGCTAAGCTCGGAAAACCAGTACAGGACCACAACCAGACATTTGGAAAGGAAAGAAGGTATCAGCACTTTTTTTTTGGGGTGGGGGGTAGGTCTCTAAAGTGAAAATAACCCAACCTTCTACAGACAAAAATTATTCCCCCACACAAATGCTAAACAAGATTCTTCCCTATAATTAGCCCCTTTTTTCCCTGAAAGCCCTGCAAAGAAAGGGTTGTACGAAACTACTTTAAAATAAGTGATACAGATGACTGCATATTCAGCAGACACATTAGAGAACATCTGGATCTCTGCAAAGAAATGTGAAAGTGGCTACTGGTAAATCATGCCAAGGTCGTATCAGGATGTCAGAGGATTTCACATACCCAGGGGAGAAATAAGCCACTATAAGCAATTCTGGGATGTATCAACGGTTTTCCAAACAGTGGTGACTCCCAATTTCCTCTTTTTGGTTAAGATAAGTTACGGTTATCAACCTCCAAACATAAACTATCACTAGGAAATCTCTTTTTAATAACCCAGGATATGGGCAGCCCAGGAGGCTCAGCGGTTTAGTGCCGCCGTCAGCCCAGGGCGTGATCCTGGAGACCCGGGATTGAGTCCCGTATTGGGCTCCCTGCACGGAGCCTGCTTCTCCCTCTGTCTCTGCCTCGCTCTGTTTCTCTCATGAATAAATAAAATCTTTTTAAAATAATAATAATAATAATAATAATAATAATAACCCTGGATAAACTTGCTTAATTGGCAATTATCGAAGACTGGAATACACTGCCCAATCACAACACCCTAAATATAAATTTTAACCTTCCAGGGGAGGATAGTTTTGGAAGGACAACAAAGGATTCTTCTTGGATTGTCCTTTCGCTACGCCAAGAAAACATTTAAGACAAAGCAAAGTCTTTGCGCCAAGAAACTGGAACACAACACAAAACCAAAGAAATAAATGACTCCTGAGGCAGCTGTGGGATCATCTCCACATTCATTCATTCAGTGAAGAAATACGGGAGAGCTCCTATGTTCCGGTAATCACCTGTGAGCAACAGGGATGCATAAGACACGGTTCCTGCCCTGAAAAAATTCAAAGCCTAAAAATAACGTCTGAAGAGTCACAAGAATCATCTTACAATAATACTGTATTCACAGACACAGAAACGGGTAAGATATACACTTAGATATATTAATGAAGGAGCTGGAAACAAACAAACAAAAGGCCGTCCACTGCGAGTCTATTAACAAATTTTGTTATATGAGTTAAGGGAACGTGATGACCGAAGTTCTAATGTACTTTCAGGACAAAAATTAACTTAGGGCACATGTTTTACAAAGGCCTCCCTACCGCCCCCACCCACCCACCCCTCGACACACACACACACACACACACACACACACACACACACACACACACACCGACCACAATCTGCAAATTGGGCGCTTTTCAGCTTGACACGTCGGGCGTGGCACTGGAGTTCTCGCACATCCCCGAAGACACCTGGATAAGCTCGCACAAGCCTGGACATTCAGGTTTCCCAGCCGAGGCCAGTTAACTCCCTAATTCTCCCTAAACCTTGAAACAACACTGCCACCTCTCTGTGCTGTCCTCCCTGCCCACTTACACACACACACCCAGGCTAAAAGCAAACCACAAATCACGGCTCCCACTCCTTCAGGAACAAATCTCCAAGAGGAATTTACCCCCTCACTCAAACAAAGCAAAGCAAAACAAACAAAAACAAAACCCCTATATTCTCTCCCTCGCTTTATTTTACGGGCTAGGTGATGCTAATAGGGGCAGACAGCCCTGTGCAGTTCAAGGCGGAGCATCCAAGGACTTCGGTCTGAAAAAGCCATTGCTTTAACCGGCACAAAACCCTGGCGGAGATGCCTCGGAAGCGACTGCTCCAGTACAGGCGAGGAGTGGAGGAAAGGGAAGGAGGGGAGAGGGGCGGAGTGAAGCGCGGGGCTGCGGCGGGGGCCGGCGGGTCCCCCCGGGTCGCGGGCACCGCCCAGGCGGGGACCTCGGCGCGGCGGCCAGAGATGCAGGGTGACCTTCCGACGAGGCCGGCTCGCGGAGAGGCCGGGCTGGGAGGACCACGCCGCGGCTCGCGGCCCCCGGCCCCCGGCTCGCGGCCCCCGGCCCCCGGCCCCCGGCTCGCGGCCCCCGGCTCCCGGCGGTGCGCTCGCCCGGCCCCGGCCCCGGCCCCGGCTCCCAGCCCGGGCTCGTCCCGCAGCTCGCTCCCGGGCGGAACGCGGGACGTGCAATCTCGGCGTCCGGGCCCTGAGCCTGGGCCTCGGGCCGCCGCCGCCCGGACACACCCCCGCCGCCGCCGCCGCCGCCGCCGCCCCGCGGCCCCGACCCCTCCCGCGGCGGCCCGGGCGGGCATCGCTCACCTGCACCGCAAGCCGGTCCGCCGCCCCGCGGGCTTCGGGCGGACACAGCTCGGCCCCTGTCGTCTGGGAGGCTCCCCGCCGCGGGCGGCAGGAGGACGAGTCCGACGGGCGGCGGCGGAGCCTGGGCGGCAGGAGCGGGAGCAGCAGCAGCAGCAGCAGCAGCAGGAGGAGGAGGACTCGCGGCGCTCCGCTCTCCGGAGATCCACCCTCCTCCTGGCCGCTCTGCAGCAGCCGCCGCAGATCCCTTCCGGGGCGCCGGGGAGCTGGGCGGGGCCGGCTGGGGAACTACTTCCGGTCCGTGGGCCGAGAGGACGGGGCCGCGGGCCGGGGCTGGAGAACAATGGCCGGCGGGGCGCGGGCTGGCCGGCTCGCTCCGCTGCGCTGCCCCGCGGACGGCCCCACCCAGGCCCCCCGCGCCCGGCGAGGTGGGGGTCGCCGCAGGCCTCGCGGAGGTGCCCGGATCTCGGCGTCCTCGTCTCTCGTGTGGGGCCCGGGCGGGGTTCGCGGGGAAGGAGGGGACGCGGAGGCCGCCATCTTGCTCCCGGCGGCGGGGGTTGGAGGTGGTTTGGCGGGTGGCCGCCCGGCTGGCGGGCTTCGGAAGTGCGGGGCCTCGGTCTGCGGAGGGCGGAGCGGACGACCCGCGGGTGCCTCGGGTCTTTCAAGGTCAGGGCCCCCAGCCCCTCCCCCCCCCCAGCACAAGCACAGGGGACGGGGCGGGCGCATCCACGTCCCCGCAAAGAGGACGTGCGGCACGCGGCGAATCGCGTGTCTGGGAGTGTGGGCAGTGATTCGAGGACTTAAAAAGGTCAAGCCTGGGTTGCTGGGGAAAAGGTGGCCGAGACGCAGGGACCAAATGTCTTCACTCCTCGGTGAGGCAAGGAGGAGAGGAGTGACCCTGGACAGCTTTAGGGGAGGAGTGGGGCCCCAGGGCCTGTGCACGAGGGGCCGCGCAGAAGTCTAGGGCGAGGATGGGGCCGTTGTGTGGGTCGCGGTGAGCGTCCAATTGCAGTTGGTTGCTGGGGGCAGATTCTCGGTAAGCGAATGGAAGAAGCAATAATGATGCCTGGAAGTAAGTAGCAATAATGATGCCTGGAAGTAGCAATAATGATGCCTGGAAGAAGCAATAATGATGCCTGGAAGTACCAATACTGATGCCTTATTTTGCTTTTAGAGGAGGGTGAGGGTAAGATCTACCAAATGAGATAGGGAATGGCGGGGATGGGGTCAGGGAGTGCCATTTTGGACCTGGCCCATTGAGTGCGGTCTACTGGCAGTTGCCGCCTGTGTTTAGAGCTCTGGGGAAATTCTAGGCTGAGCTCAGGGACACCACAGGCTCGCGTCCCCAACTCCAAGCCCACTGCAGCCTCCTCTCATTGAGCAGTCTCGAAACCACTCCTTTTCCCTACCTTCTTGTGGGAAGATTGCTGAAATAATAACCTTTTTAAATCCCCCGCCTGGTAGTACATGTCCATCCACACATGCTAACACCCAAATGTCTCCCTGGTCAGGACTAGAAAGGTCAGGCTTACAGAAAACCCAAATATGACCGTGTTAGCTAGTGTAGCAGCACAAACTCCTAAGATGGAATGCCATTGTTAACGTAAAAAAAGTGTTTAAGTTTAATCATTGACGATAAACAGCTTATTTAACGCAGCCACAAAGGATTGTGACGGGAGGTTGCACAAATACCTGTCGAATGGAGAGCCAGGAGGTCGACTTCAAGAAAAGTGAGCAATGGGAACACAATGACCCTCAACCTCGAGTTGATTAGTCAGCCTGTCTCAGCTGCTTCTTGGCTGTTGAAAGCCACGCTAACCTACCTGAAAGCAGAAATAGAATGGGTCGTTTTCAGCAAAGGCTTCGGAAAGCTGCAAATAACAAAACCCCTATAAATAAGAGCTGCAACAGCAAACCAAAGACTATGGGTTTTTATTTGGCACTTTTGAATGTAAACCACGAGGGACTCTCGCCTTTAGTTCTTAGATTATTCAAATACATTATTCTCAGTTTTCTTAGAGTGGAAATACATGTAGGTGTATTAACAACCAGCTAATGGATACCATACTGAACCGGAAATGAGAACAATGATCTTGAGGCCCCTTTCTGTTCTTTGTTCACCATATGACCCTAGCACAGTCACTTAACCTCTCCATGCCCTAGTTTCTTTGTAAAATAGAGATAATAATAACCCTCTACTGGCCTGCCTCTCGGAGATATTATAAGAAATAACAAATTAATGCTTTAAGAGCTCTTTGAGGTACTTGGATGAAAGGGTATAATTGTAACTACATATTATTAATAATTAACACTAATATCCAGTAGAACTCATGAGCATTCCTAAATTTGCTGCCTGGGCAACACCAAGAACATGAAGGATTCTGTTTTTAAAATAGGCTTAAGTTACAACAACAAAAAAGATAGGCTTAGGTTCATTCCTATGTGTTTAATTTTCATTATGATCAAACCTTGTGTATTAAACATAGAATAAGTAAAGAGTAAAAGATTTTAGTAACTAATTCTTATGTTCACTGCTATTATAGCTAATCTGTGTTTTGGACAGATATACAGGTAGGTATGCTTTTGTCAGAATCTTGTTTTAGAATTAGTCATTAGTTTACTGCAGTCATTTAACTGGAATTTTCTATGAAAGCATTACTCATGTCCCTATAGAATAAAAACAGTTTTACCTGCAGTTACATGTTTGTCTGAAACATGAAGCATTCCTGTGAATTATCTGTCATTCTCATCATTGATTAATCAGAAATACAAAATAAAAAATGTATAGGCCTATGAGGTTTTGTCCAATGTCTACCCTGCAGTAGATGAAGTTTTGCCCATTAGATTAGATTCACGGGGATCTGGGTGGCTCAGTTGGTTAAGTGTCTGCCTTGGGCTCAGGTCATGATCCCGGGGTCCCAGGACAGAGCCCCACATCGGGCTCCCTGCCCAGTGGAGAGTCGGCTTCTCCCCCCAACCCCCCCCCCGGTTGTGCTCTCTTGCTTGCTCGCTCTCTCAAATAAATAATCTTAAAAAAAAGATTAATAGCTTCATTATTTCTTTTTTGAAAGGTATATGCATATGTAAACACATTTAAACATTCATGGCTATGTAATCTGCATATTTTTATACACATATGCCAATTTATAAAAATATGAAGGTACATTAACTACACATATAGTAACAACTGTCAACAACAAAACCCTCTTTGGGTGTATTGGCCAGATAAGAAAGCAGTTGGTTATTAGCAATTTGTCACTATTGATGGAGAAGCAACTCAAAATACATGTTATTGTCTATAATATCCACGATACCTTTAACATATTACTTCATTTTGTATTCACAACAACTTTGTGAGGCACACATTGCTTAAAAAAAAAAAGGCTCAGCAGACTTAGACTGGTTACAAATTGTCAAGTAGCAGAGTCAAAGTCAGACTTTTGAGCCTCAAATGCACTGTTCCCTGTAGTACTTGATACGTGGTTACCAGCTTGATATGACAGTTGTGCCAGGATGTATTTATAATATGGACATTTCTGGCTTATGATTGATTGTCTGCAGAATCTAAAATTCAGCCAGGCTTAATTTTTTTAAAACTTAAGCTACTATTATGTTTATGCCTGTGTCTTCACCAAAAACTTTGTTTTGTTCATCTTCATATCCTTCGTGACATCAGGTGTAGATATTCAAAGTATTTTAGGGATGAAAATAAAAAGTATATTGTGATGATCAGTTGAAGAAGAAAAAATACCCATATATATAATCACCTCCAAAACTTAACGTGTGTTTTCTGCACATTCAGGTAAAGATCATTTGTTTTAGATTTTTTTCTAATTTAGTGAGGCCGTTGCCTCAGTTTCCTTCTTCATTTTTATTGACATCGGGCCTTGGAAGGGTAGGCCTACACAGGTACTGTAGATGACAGTCACTTGTGTGATACCACTTCTAATATTTCCGTTTGGACTTAAATATTCTAGATAACTCTTGTGGTCACTCTGTTGAGAATGTATAAGGAATGGCGGTCTGACAACTTAGGCTTTTATTATAGTTCACCACTTCATGTCCACCCTTGAGGGCCACATATTTCCATACTTTTTCAATCAGGGAATTAGATGATAAGACTGTGAAATGAATGATCCCCAAGTGCTGTTGCTCATCAGAATCACCTATACAACTTTATTTTTTTTTAATTTTTTTTTTTATGATAGTCACACAGAGAGAGAGAGAGAGAGGCAGAGACACAGGCAGAGGGAGAAGCAGGCTCCATGCACCGGGAGCCCGACATGGGATTCGATCCCGGGTCTCCAGGATCGCGCCCTGGGCCAAAGGCAGGCGCTAAACCGCTGCGCCACCCAGGGATCCCTCACCTATACCACTTTAAAGGAAAGTCCCAGTCTAAACAAAGTCAATTAGAAAGTCTTGGGTGAAGCCTTACATACATAGTTACATAAATGCAAAAATATAAACTATAACACCCTCTTTTGAATTCTGATCATCAGTCAGGTTTGGGAAGCTCTGGTTTCAGTAACTTATCCAAGGTTACCCCAGAACCGTAAATAGAGCCAGAATCAAACTCAGATCTTGTAAGTCCAAGTTAAATATCCTTTCACTGGACTTTTACTGATTACATATGATAGAGTAGGAGAGAAAAATAGCAACTTCAATTAAAATTTTTTTTACCATATCCTGTTACATGGTTTTATTTTTACTTATTTTTTCTAAAGATTTTATTTTTAAGTGATCTCTATACCCCACATAAGGCTCGAACTCATGACCCCGGGATCAAGAGTTGCGTGCTCCACAGATTGAGCCAGCCAGATGGATGCCCCTCTGTTACATGGTTTTAAGATTAAATGAGTTTCTACCTGTAGGGTGCTTAGAACAGTACCTGGCATGTGGCAAGAAGTGTATGTGTTAAGATTGATAAGACTGTTAGATATAGGCATTTTCTGTGTAGAGAAAAAGGTATGTAAAGAAATGGAATCCTCAGTCTTTTTTTTTTTGTCATAGAAGCTCTGAATTTGTAGAGCTGAAAGTATTTCTATATTGTTTCTTTTCGTCTTTCCTGATACATTAAAAAATGTTGATAACATACCTTAATAGGTATGTTTTGGACTTGTAGTTTTATGGTATTTTCATCATTTTCTTTAAGATACAGTTATAGTTAA